TCATTTATTGTTTATTCTTCAATGTTCTGTTTTGTTTGATTTTATTATGTCTGATGGTATGTGCAGCAATTTTGAAGATAACAAGAGACATTATGGTAACTACAATTGATTTCCTATTATCCTGTTTTGAAATCCTGTATCACTTTCACAGTTTTGTTTTAATTGGCTTTATTCTGTTTTATTTTGTTTGGTTTTATTCTCTTTAAAATAAAATTTTATCTTGAACAACTATTTATAAAATTACAATATGTTAGTGAGTTCTTACTGTTTATTTTTTTCTCTGAACATATGTATTTTTTACCTATTTTCTGTTTTATTTATTCTTTAAATAAAAAAAATTTTTTTTATTTAAAGAAAAGGAAACGAAAAAAGAAAAAAAAATACATGGAGATAAAAAAAAAGGGTAAAAATAATACTAAATTACAGACAAACAAAAGGTAAGAAATTGCCAGTTGATAAGTTACAAATTGTCATCTTCAAAATGGCTGTTCAGGTTATAGAATTAAAGTATTTAGAATAACATTCAAAAAAGTGACCCTACAAACCATTCTGCTCTATGGTCGAACAAAAGCTCCGTAATATGATTATCAGTCCCACCTATTTGTTTTACATCTCTAAGAGGGTAAGATTAACCATATCAAAACAGAACAGAACATTTAAAAAAAAATAAAAAACAATTTAAAGAAATACAGATTTCAAAGCAAGTCCACTGGAGATCTACCTTATCTAACTGTCTCTAGCTTCTTACAAATAGTTGTCCCTAACTTCACCCACTTTATATACTTATTGCATATTATAGAACTAATCAAATCATTACAGGATGATAGAGTCTTTTTAGGTCCTCAAGTTCCAAATTAGGGAAGACAATAGCAACTACCATCGCATCTCTCATTCTCTTTGTGATAGCCATCCCCATCTCTGCATATACTGAAGTTGAGCTGAAGAAACCAGTCCAATGTCATTCTAATCAGCAAGCAATAGATTGCTAGAATTTATATTATAATGCTACAAAATAAGCCTCGGGTTTTTCAGGTCTCTTCCTCAGAGTATTTGTTCCTATCCTCTCTGTATTATAGGGAAAACCAAGTCATAACGAGACAGCGAAACAATTTCCTAGAAAAACATGCAATGGATAAGACTTATAAAACTATAATATAAATGATCTTCCGTAGCTACTATGTTTTCTCTTGTTATTTTCAATAGATTTGTCCACAACACTGGCTTATTATAGTTAAACATACTAACACCTATTTTTATAAAAACTTACCTTTGATTGCATTGTAGTATTTGAGAGCTGTTACTGATTCATACCAGTATGGATATCCTTTACATCTTGTCATGCTCAGAGTAGTTTCCTCTACTTTTAGGGTTGATTCTAACACGCATACCGATTTCAAATAGGATCAGTCAAGGCCAACCAATAGTCTTATGATTCAGATACAATTAAGATCAGTCATAGTAAGACAATGTAAGTAATACAGGATTTCAGCCTAAGTCAATAGGAAAGTAAGGATAGTTACCATGGTATAACCTGCTATTTTTGGTTCTAGAGGTCTGTGTCCTCAAATCTGACATGAGTGGACAGACCAGAACAAATTTAATTCAATCTAAATATGGCACTAGGACTACTGTGTCTTTTCAATCGTTATACACCATTAGCAATGACCTCTGCTTTTTTTTTTTTAAATATAGTTTCAGAGCTGTCTCTACTAAAGACTAGCTTACCGTCTCTGCCTCATGTCTGCTACTCTACTTTTCTGCTATATTTTGTCCACCTTATTCCCTCATTCCATTGTCTGCCCCGTTCACTGAGGCCTCTCTGCCACTGTAGCTGTAATCCTGATTTCTCTTCCTCTCTTTCTCTGCAATGTCCTTCAGTGCTCTCTGTAGGGTTGGATTGGTGGCCACGAACTCCCACAGTTCCTCCTTGTCTTGAAAGTATCTTATTTCTTCATTAATTTTTAGAGAGAGTTTTGACGGACATATGAACTTCGGTTGCATATTTTTTTCCTTCAGGACTTGGAATATTTCTCCCCACTCCCTTCTTGACTTAAGAGTTTGTGTTGATAAGTCTGCTGTTATTTTGATAGATTTCCCGTTATAGGTAACCTGCATCTTTTCTCTGGCTGCTTTTAATATTCTGTTTTTTTGGTGGATTTCTGGGATCTCGATTATTATATGCCTAGGCGTAGATCTGTTTTGGTTGTAGGTAGCTGGCGTTCTGTATGCTTCTTTTATCTGGATATCATTTCTTTTTGCTATACATGGGAAATTTTGCTTTAATATATCTGTGAATATTTTTTGTATTTCATTTTTGGATGTTCCTGCTTCCTCACTTACATTCTTTATTCTTAGGTTATGTATCTTTTTATCATCTTCCAGTTTTAGAATTGCTTCTTTCTGGTTCCTTGTTATTTTTAAGAGGCTTTTTCTTTCACGTTCATAAGCCCTAAATCTCTCTTCAAGTTTCAGAAGGTTGTCTTTAGTTTCTGTCAAGGCATTTTGCCAATATTCAATGGAGTTTTTAGTTTCCTGATATTCTCTTTGGATCTGTTTCATGTATTCTAAGTTATGCTTAAATTCTTCTTCAGATGCTTCTCTTTCTTTTCTGAATTCCTCAGTTCTTCCATCTGTGTTCTCTTGGGTGGGGCTTGTCATTCCTTTAATTAATCTCTTTATATCTTGCCTCACTTGGATCAGGAGTACATCTTTAAATTCCTCTATGAGATCATGTAAGTACTTTTTAATTTCGGCTGATGCTGTGTCAAGTAGAGGATGGTTACTGTGTTTGTTCTCTTCAGTGTTTAGTTCTCTTGGGTTTATTTTCTCCTGTTGAACAGCTGGAGATTTTTTTTTTTATTTTTATCTCTTGTCATGTTTCTGGTTTCTTTCAGACTGTCCTGGAGTTCTCTGGCCCTCTCCGAATTGCTTAGGGCCTCTCAGAAGCATGCTGGCTTGAGTTTTTTGCTGTCCTCCCCAATTTGCTGTTATCTGGGGTAGGCTGGGATGCAGGGGCGGTACAGTCTAGTCTCTAGCCTCTGTGTCAGTTAGTTCATAAATTAGGCTGTACTTTCTGGTTGTCACTGAGTTGTGACTATTTTGTATCCGCTTATTGGGCCCCAAGCAGAGGCTTGGTTTAGCCCCAGTAGCTCCTGCCAGTTCTCTTTGAATCAGAAGCAGCTGAGTAATGGCACAGGATTCTGCCCAAGTCCCAGCCGTTCTCTTCCAAACCTCTCTGTGACAGGAGCACCAGAAAAGCAGATCTGCCCAAAACTAAGATGGCTCCCACTAAGTTCTCTGTGTGGAGCTGAAGCCAGCAAGTAATCAGGCTCTGTCAGGACTCAAGATGTCTTCCACCAGCCCTCCCTACAAGGGGACCTGGTGATGTCACCAAGCTGCGGTTTCTGCCGCCAGGCTAATATGTCTGCACCAGACTCTGTGTTATTGATTTCCCCGTGTTCGCGGGCCAGCTGTTCTCTGGCCAAACCCAGCAGCCGCGGGGTTCTCTGTACTCACCAGAGTCCGGTGCAAGTCCTCATTCCGGGACCGCCGCACACCAAGCTGCCCACTTTTCCTGCACTCCCAGGACAGCGTGGGGCGGTGCACAGCGTGCGCTCCCAGCACAGCGCTGACTGGTCATAATATCTGTGCACCGTTTAAATTTGAAACGCCCGAGCTTTGTACGTCCGCTCTGGTGCAGCGGTGCAGACTTGGCTGCTACTTGGAGTCTCGGTCCGGGTCTCCGTTTCCTGCAGTCCCCAAAAGCAACTCAGCTTTTTGTGCTGGGTCCAAGAGTCTATTTGTTGATTTAAGGGCGCGAGATTTGCAGCCTCCCGTTGTCGGCGTTGAAGGTCTCAGCACGACTTTAAATCCTCCAGCTGTACTGTCTTGGTTAATAAGAATCGCTATCGATTTGTCTGGCCCTCTCCATGCTGTCTTTTTTTAGCTTCGAGTTTGAATTCTCTGGAGAGACTCTTCGCTCGATCCCCTAGCCCGCCGCCATTTTCAGAATCCCCCCCAAAAATTTTTTTTAAAAGCCAGTCAAATTTAGCAGTGGGGGGGGGTGGTATACCAACTTTAGTGACACTAATGTTAATAAGTTCTGATAACCCACTGCCATCAGACCAGCCTAAATAAAATTTTTTTAAAATAAATTAAATAAAATTTTAAAAAGAAAAAAAGCACATTTTTACAATCTTGAAATTTTTATTTTAGTTAATAACTAATTGAAGTTTTCTTTTTTTCTTCATCTCTTTACTTTTTTTTTATAAACTGTTGCATGTTACTGATGAGAATTTAAATCTGTGATTTACTTCAACTCAAATATTCATTGTGGTTTCTGGTAATATTATAGTTATGACAAAGATGCTTTGAAATTTCCAAATAGGGGCTGGGGATTTAGCTCAGTGGCATAAGCACCTGCCTTGCAAGCAAACGGCCGTGAGTTCGATCCCCAGTACCGATAAAAAGGAAAAAGACAAAAAAAAAAAAAAAAAGGAATTTCCAAATAGTCAAACAGCACTTTCATAAAACACCAAGAATATTGAACTTAAAAGATACAATTCAAAACACAAGATTTAAGAGATACACACAGCCTGGGGGCATCAAGAGGTGCTTCTTTCTTGAGCACTTTTAGCTGAGTGCCATGGCTTCAGTCACTTCTGACACCATGAAATGTGCAAGGACCTTGTGGATAATCACTCATGGCATTATTTATAGTAGCGTGAAAGTAGGGAGTGGTCATGGGTCCAAGAGATAGTTAAATCTTAAATTGCTTCAATTATTATAGCCATAACCTGGAAACGAGGCAGCTGTAGAAAAAGCATACATGACATTTTCAAATGGGAGAAACTGCTGTGACGTGAAAAGAGAACAGAATGTTGGATTACAGGCTGTGTGATCAACAATGGAGTTTAAAACTATGCTGTGGTAAAAGGCAACAGTGACTAATTGGTATTAGAATTATAGATGATTTTGACTTTTATAAGACACAAGTATCATTTTTTAAAATGAGAAACAAATTTTTATTTTTATTAGTACATATTTGAAGTACATAGTAACTACATTTATCGTAGGGAGTTGGTACGTGTACACAGCACATCATAATTTTTTAATTTTCCCATCCTCTTTTCTCCCCCCACCCCTTTTTAGATAATAACTGCATTTTACTTTGGCTTGGAGAGAGGCAAGCTGAATAACTATTTGAAAGTTCTTTGCATGACCGACAAGATAAGTTTGACCTGAATCTTCCTGCTTTTCTTCAGTAATTACTTCTGTAGGGCAGAGTGGAGCAAGGTGATCTCAGGACTCAGGACAGCTCACTTTGGGCAGAAAAAGGCGCTGGTCACTAGGGTTGCAGTCTGGTTGTCTTGGAAGCAAAGTCCGAGCTTCACAGACACTTGCTTCTTCTTTCCAGTTGGTTTGATTTAGATGGACTTTGGGGTCTTCTTTAGTGATTGTTTGGACTGGTCATGCTACATGTTGCTGATCTTTTCAAAATGGGAGCAATGAAGGAGAGAGTTAGAATGCAGATATTTAAAAGCAATTTCCAACAACCACTTACAATTTTTTTTTTTTTTTTGGTTTGGAGACAGGGTTTTGCTAAATTACTAAGTTACTCAGTTGGTCTTGAACTTTCAATCCTCCTCCTGTGTTAACCTCTCAGAGTGCTGGAATTACAAGGGTATGCTACAAAGCCCAGCTGTTTGTGACCTTTTTAAAGAATTTAAGTATGGGATGGGGATGTAGCTCAGAGGTAGAGAACTTGCCTAGCATAAGTGAAGGCCTGGGTTCAATCCCTAGTACTAAGAGGGAAAAGTTCTACATACATTTCTTTTTTTTTTTTTTGTACTGGGGATCAAACTCACAACCTCAAGATTGCAGGCAGGTCCTTATACTGCTGAGCTAAATCCCCAGCCCATACATACAATTTTAATTTGGAAAAAATAACTAATATTTATGCTTTTCTTTCATGATTTAGAAGTACTATGCACAAAAAAATTTGTGTCATTGTTTACAACTATCTTAACTATCTTTGATAATTAATTACCTTCTGAACTCTAGTCTTTATTTATTGGTGGGTTTGTTTGTTTTGTTTTGTTTTTGCGACAGGATCTTGCTGTATAGCTTAGGCTGGGCTTGAACTCATTATGTAGCTCAGGCTGGCCTCTAATTCACAGCAGGTCTCCTTCCTCAGCCTCCCGAGTGCTGGGATTACAGGTACACATTGCCATGCCAGCTGCACATTTTTATTTCATCTGTTTATTCTTTTATTTGTTAAACTGAATGTTAGTGGTCTGGGAGTGATCAGAGGTAGAGCGCTTGCCTAACATGCTGGAGCCCTAAGTTTGATCCCTGGCATCAAAATACTTACATATACATATGCACACTTAAAAATCAGAATGTATATTACATAGACAAAAACTGCATATTACATATACAAAAAGTATAGTTTTCATTTTAACAGTTTTAAGTGACTTGTCTAATAATATCTTTAGTCTGTAGGAAAAAATCTTTGAAACAGGTTAGTTGACTTATATAACATAATAATTGGTGTATAGTTGGTTAAACCCAAATACAGTCTTCAATAAAGTGCTCCAATTTCCTGTAATTAAAACATTTTTATACAGGCAACATTCAGTATCTGCAAAAACATAAATGATAAAATATACCTTCTAGTCAGATGGGAGTCAGTATAGACTTAGAATCAGAACAATCAACACACACTCTGCAGAGCACAGATTGTGATCATTGATCACTGTCACCATCACTAACTCGCCAGCCATAGGTGTCTGCAGGGACAGATGATTCTCAGCAACATGCTGTCAGTCTACATTCTAATTATGTACAGGAAAAGTATCCTAGATACTGCAGTTAAATGAGCGGTCACAAATAAAATGCCCAGTCTATGAGTTTACAGAATCCACTGAAAACACATAGCATAAGCCTTGTGTCATCAAGCACAGACTGATCCAGACTTAAGCGTACATCTTTTTTAATTTAAAAAGCCTTATTAGCTTTTAAATAAACATCAAGATATCTCACCTTCTGCCATGCTGTATGCAATGACTGTGTACATCAAACACACACACACACACAAAGTTTTGACAGGTATTTAACCATTTAGTTTAATGCCCAACATTTAATGTTTCTGAACTTAGAACAGCCAGCTAGAGTCCAAGCAGTTCAAGCGGGTGGGTGGCTGCTGTAGCAACAGCCAACCTTGTTCTTGTTCTTGCTTGGCTATTTGGGCTTCAAGACATTAAAGGTTGATGGTGGAAGGGTCAAGGGCCTGGCATCCACATGGCCTGGAGATGCCTGAGGCTGCTGGGCAGGGGTCACATCTGATGGAACCTTAGCAGGTAAAGCTCTATTTTAACCCCTACAGTCTGAAGTTCAGGGTGTGTTTTTGTTTGTTTCATTTTTTTTTTTTTTTTTTGGAAAAAAAGTCTCACAAGATTGCCCAGGCTAGTTTCAAACTCCTGGTTTTCTGAATATGTACTCTCACAAGTGGCTGGGTCTGAGACTGCTGGCTATGAGTATAGTAGTCTACCTGAACCCTTAGCCTGCTGCCTGCATCCCACATGGATCTGAGGTTTGACCGCTTTCCCCATGTACCATCATGAGCAAAGGCATGCCTATGCTTGGACGCTTCCCACAGGCTGCAGTGAACAGAGGGGCCTTGGGAGTGGGGTGCGTGATGCCTCCCCAAACACAGGCCACAACCCTAGGGAGACGCCAATATGACTCGTTGGACTTCCAAAATGCAAAGCATGAAAAGAAACCACTGTTTCTTCTTTACCTTTTTGGGGGTGGTGGGAGGGGTTACAGATTTTCCCTTCTTTTTTTCTCTGTTTTGTTCCATTTTTCCTTTTAAATTTTTTTCTCCTTTTTTTTTCTTCTTTTCTGGCTTGTTCTTCTGTTTCCTTTATCCAATTTTATTAATGTCCTTTTACTCCTTAATCTCACTTTTCTCCTCTTCCTTTGCTTTTGAATGTTTCTTCTTTTATTCTCCCATTCTTCACCCCCTCTATCTTAACGGTTATAACTGGTAAGCCTTACTAACCTTTAGATAGCTAATTCTACAGTATTACTGTGAGTTCTTCTCTATTCTTAGTGGAGACAAAGTTGTTGTATGTACAAATATGTACATGCAGTACATATTTACTGTATGTCAGTATTTTGTTGGTCTCAGCACTAATACCATAATTACAGGCCTCTTTTCAGTGGTTTGAGGTGGTATATTATTGGCTCTTACAGTATGTTGATATCGTTTGTCTTTGATGCTGTTGTTGTTGCTGATTCATTACTGCCTCTGTGACACAGTTATTGAGATTATTTGACTTCCTGTTTGCCATTATGTAGATTACTTTTGTGTCATTAACAATACAAACCAAGCCCAGAGTGAATCTCTGAAAAGTAGACACTAACTAAAGAGGTCTCCCTTAGCAACAAAGCCTTGCCACTGGAAGCGCCTGCAATCCTCAGCACAAACCAAACCAAACTAATCAAACGAACACATAAAAACCATAGAAACAGGAAAAGACAAGGCGAAGAAATGTCTCCAGATCACTCAGCTTCCCCAGAGCTTATCCATGGTGCACTGAGAGGGGAAAAAAGCAAAGTGAATCCTTTATTTAAAATGTGCACTTTTAAAGGAATTATGACAAGGAAAATCTCGGTGTGTTTAGAAAAGACCATTTGGAAATATTATTATTTTTAAAGTGCTTTCATGTAGTTCTACAACAGTAATTCACACAGTAAACAACTGTAGAACTGCATTTTTCAGGTTGCAAGAGGTTCCTAATAATGACCTTACCATTTGTTCTTTAAAACGGTTTTCAATCCCAGCTTGCACCATTAGGTCATTCACATTCTTCTGTAAGTCCTCAATATGATTTCCCATTTCTTCCAGTACAATGTTAAGGAGAATCACACATGTGAAACTGGAGTACAGTAGCCAGCCTGACATACCTTCAAAGATCCTGCTTTGGACTGCACCTGCTCAGCAAGGGGTGTGCATCAATGTGCCAGGACAGAAGCAGCTACTAAAAGGAATCAAAATCTGATATCAATGCAAATCTGCTATTTATCTTGAGTTTTTCTTAGTGTATACTTTTAATCTTTAAGCTGTGAGCTCAGTTTTAAAAGCCTGGCTCACCTTACTTGAATATGGATATGGGGATGTGAGTTTGGTATGTTTAGCCAAACTATAAGTATAAATATAACAGAAATTAACTTTTTAGAATCAACTTTCCTATGGTTTAAATTTATCATGTTTGAGAATCATTTTTGTCCTGTGTGAACTCATCTTCAAAATCAAAAATGGAAAATAAGTGGTTTGAGTTCCAAATATTTTGCATGATTTTTTAAAGAAATATATTTAATTGTATAAAGTGAGCTCACATTGGGCAAGTCATGGGGTACACAACATGCTTATATAAATTTGCTGAAACCAGAAGCTAAATTTTAAATTCTAAGACAAAACAGTGTCAAAACTGAAGTCAAAACAATGGTAGATAGCGGCTTGTGTAGTATCCTGTGTTGGAAATCTTCATTACTTCGTTCCTGATTGCCATGTGAGAGTCTGCCTTGCAGGCTAGGCTGTGGAGGCCCTTGAGGGAAAGCCCAGAAAGAAATGCTGTACAACTGTGCTTCTTGAAATTTGTACCTGCTGTTCTATTATTCTGTATTGCTAGTCAAGCAGGAAGTAAAGCCTTTTGCTAGAGGTAAATGGTAATTAATGCATCAAGATACCACATCAAAGTACAAATGTAAATACTGGGAAATGTTTAGTCAACAATTATCCCCTAAACTTACCAACAAAGAAAAGCCCAACCCTTGATTGATTCACTGCAGAATTCTACAAGAAATTTAGAGAAGATCTAACACCATCTAACACCAAACTTTTTCATGAAATTGAAAGGGAAACAATATCTACAAATTCATTCCTGGAAGCAAGCATTACCTTGAACCAAAACTGGAGAAGGACCCAGCTAAGAAAGAGAATTACAGACCAGTCTCCCTAATGAACATAGATGCAAAAATCCTCAATAAGACACTAGAAAATAGAGTGCAGCAAATCATCAAAATTATATACCACAACCAAGTTGGATTCATCCAGAATGCTGGGATGGTTCAACACATGCAAATTGATAAATGTAATACATATCAACAGAGCCAAGCCCAAAAGCCATATGATCGTCTCAACAGAGGTAGAGAAAGCTTTAGATAAAGTTCAGTACCCATCCATGATTTTTAAAAAACCTAAAGAAAATTGGAATACATGATCTTTATCTCAATCTGATAAAAAACCATCTGTGACAAACCAACAACCTGCATCATACTAAATGGACAAAAACTGAAAGCTTTCATTCTAAAATCAGGAACATGACAAGGATGTCCACAGTCTCCACTCTTGTTCTACATAGTCCTAGAAATTTTAGTCAGAGCAATTTGAAAAGAGAAAAAATAACAATAGGAAAGGAACCAGTTAAACTATCATTATTTGTGGATGACATGACACTATACATAGAAGTCCCCAAAAACTCCATGAAGAAAATGCTAGATTTGATAAGCAAATTCAACAGTAGCTGGATAGAACATCAACATGCAATAATCAATGTCCTACCTGTTTACAAATAATAAACTCACTAAGAGGGAAATTAGAGAAACCACACCTTTCACAATAGTATCCAAAAAAGAAAAAAGAAAGAAATACATAGGAATCAATCTCATGAAGGATGTAAAAGACCTCTACACTGAAAACTATAGTAGTTTGAAAAAGGAGATTAAAGCAGATATCACAAAAATGGAAAGATATCCCTTGCTCTTAGGTAAGAAGAACCAATATAGTGAAAATGGCCATACTTCCAAAACTGTCATACAGATTAATGCAATTTCAATGAAAATTCCAACAGCATATCTCACAGAATTAAAGAATTCTAAAATTCATTTGGAACCAGAAGAGTCCAGGCATAATGAAGGTAGTTTTGGGCAATGAAGGAAAGACCTAGGGGCATTATAATCCCTGACTTGAAATTATACTATAAAGCTACTGTGATAAAAACAGCATGGTACTGGCAAAAAAAAAAAAGACCTGAAGATGAATGAAACAGATTAGATGATGCAGAAACAATTCCAGACTTACTCAGTCACCTTATTTTTGACAAGGGTGACAAATACATTCACTGGAAGATAGTCAGCCTCTCTAATAAATGGTTCCGGAATAAATGACTTTGCTAATGCCAAAGATTAAAATTGGACCCATATGTTTCATCTTGCACTAAACTAAATTTAGAACAGATCAAATATCTAAATATTAAAACTAAATATGAAATCTGCTGGAGGATTAAATAGGTAAAACTTGTGAAGATATTAATGTAGGCAAAGACTTTATAAACAAAATCACAAGCACAGGAATTATCATGTATAATCAACAACTTAAGATCTCATCTTATTATAAACTTTTGCACAGCAAAAGAAACCACCAACAAAATGAAAAGACAACCCACAATGTGGGAAACAGATGTTTACCACTTCCTCAGACAAAGGATTACTATAGAGAACATGAAGGAACTAAAAAAAAATCAAAGCTCCCAAATTTAAAGACCCAATCCAAAAATTGGCAGTTGAGATGAATACACACTTGTCAGATGAAAAACTACCTACCTCAACTAAATATATGAAAAAATGTTCAACATCACTCACTGGTCATTCCAGAGATGCAAACTGAAACAACACTGAGATTCCACCTTGCCCCAGACAGAATGGCCGATCTTAAGAAATCAGCCAATGACAAATGTTGGAAGAGCTGTGTGGAAAAGGAACCTTTCTCCACTGCTGGTGGGAGTGCAAACTGGTGCAACCACTGTGGAAATCAGCGCAGATTCCTCAAAAAACTAGGATTATAGGTCCCATTTGACCCAGCTAGTCCCCTCCTGGGTATCTTCCCAGAAGAATTAAAAACATCATACCGCAATGATATATGTGCACCCATATTTATAGCAGCACAATTTGTAATAGGTAGATCCTGGAAACAACCCAAAGGCCCATCAACCAAGGAACAGATAAAAGAAGATGTGGTCTTTTTATACAGAGGAATAATACTCAGCTACAAAGAAGGATAAACTGGAGACTTTTATAGGTAAATGTATGCAACTTGAGCCCATACTCATAAGTGAAATAAACCAGACTCACATGTGTAAACATTGTTCTGTCTCCCTAGTGTGAGAAGCTGAAAGAGTAAATAAGATCAAAATGTACAATAGATATTATGAAATGGGAAGAAACTGTTCAAAAAGAAAAAGAAAATGAGATGGGGTAAGGAGAAAAGAATGGAAAATCTATCTACCTATTTATATTAGTTAACATATTTATACTACTAGTTTCTCAGTTTATTGAAAAGAAAGGTTTGTGCTAATCTTGTTTCAACAATTAAATACCTACATCATCTATGCTAAGTAACTAATTTAAAGATAACAGGGCCAGGGATTTAGCTCAGTGGCATAAACACCTGCCTGGCAAGTGCGAGGTCATGAGTTCCATCTCCAGTACCAAAAAACAAAAGAGAACAAGAAACAAAAAACAAAAAACCCCACCCAATATGTGTAATGTCTTAACCATTGTTACTCTCCTATTATCTTGTTTTGAAATTTTTTTCTCTTTAAAATAAAATTTTAAAAAATTATGCCCTACTGGTGAAGGACAAAAAGATATCCCATGCTGATTTGATAATCCAAAAGCATTAGAGTATTTATTAAAGACAGAAAAAGGATATTTCTGCAGTTTAATGTTGCAATAAGTGCTTGAAAATGGTCTTGAAGTTCTTGAAGTAGATTTTCTACCTGAAAAATTGACCTATAAGGCAACTGAACAGAATATTTACCATTGGTATAGGACAGTGTAAATATTATGCAGTAATCCATGATACATGGTCTGTTACTTTCTGACAGAGGTACCAAGCGCTGCAAAAAACTGATCATGCAAAACTACTTTATAAGCAGGTTTTAAGCTTCCTCAGACTACACAGCCTTTTGAGAATGAGAACACACATGTGAAAGGTGGAACCAGAGATATGGACGATAATACAAGAAAAAAAAAATCTCAGTCAGTCCGTCCTTTGGGAATTCTACAGCGGAACCAAAAATCATGTACGGCTTACACAAACTCAGTTTACCAACCTCTTTAGAATTTATTAGCCGCTCTTGGTATTGAAGTTTCAACTTCTCTTGCCAACTGAGTTGTGCAGAAATATTGCTATTTCTATGTTCCTGTACACTGGCAGTGCTCATTAGCTGGTACTGGTACTGCAGGTGACTTTGTTTACCATGTCACAAGGAAATGTTGCTATTATAGCTGCAAGTATTTGGTATTTGTACACTGTTATAAGTCACACATTGAAATCTACCCGTGTATGAGCTAAGGCTCCCCCTTCCCCTTTGTGTCCATCTCCAGAAGGGAACATCCGTTCCAAGCACGGCAAATCTGCTCCGACCTCAGAGGCAATCTTTGTTTTTTTTTTTTTTTTCTAACCCCTTAGCCCTAGGCCCCTCCTTTAATCAGGGATACCTAACTTAGGAAAATGCAGATTTTGTACAGCCAGCAAATTCTTTTAAACAGTACATTTATCAACCTTTATTCTGGGACTGGAACTTACTCTGGCAAACAGGAAAGCAAGAATTGTGCTCCGATCCCTGGTATCGATTAAAAACGTAAAAAGACAAAAAACAAAACAAAACAAAACAAAAACCATAAGGGGCTGGGGATTTAGCTCAGTGACATAAGCGCCTGCCTTGCAAGTAGGTAGTCGTGAGTTCGATCCCCGGTACCGATAAAAACGAAAAAAAAAAAAAAAAAAAAAGAATTGGTCCCAACTTTCCCACGCGTGGGCGGGGCCAGTCCGGAGGAGGAGAAAGGGACGAGGGCGGGGCTAGAGAGTACTGGGAAGGACACTGGGGCGGGGTCATTACGGGTGGGCGGGGTTTTGGGGGCAGGCGGGCGGTGCTTGGTCGATGCTTGGACGGGGGCGGTGCTTGGGCGGGCTTGAGGGCGGGGCTTTGGGCACATGGGCGGGGCTTGGTGCATGGGCGGGGATGGGCAGGGCCTCACGCGGGGCTTGGCTGGTCCAGACGGGGGCGTATTGCAGGGGCCTCACCCGGGGGCTCCTCCCCGCCGCCATCCTCATAACCTCAGTCCCAGGACCCCGGCCTGGTCCCCGGACCGCAGGGCGGCCGGGCGAGCAGGTCGCTCACCTTATCCCGAAGCTCGTCCCCGTGCGGGGGTTCGGGCGCGCGGGTGTCCATGTTCTCCCAGGCCTGGGGTTCCGAGCGCCTTCGTCCCGCGGACAGGAAGCCTCTGGGCCTTAGCGAGCATCCGGCCGGACAAAGCCGGGCGGGAGGCGGGGCGGGCGGGCCCCGGAGCCGCGGGTCTGGTTCTGCCGGTTCTCACCGTGGCCGGTGGGCGGTGGGAAGAGCTCCGTGGAGGGAGGTGTCACGGTTGTTGTCGTTCCTGTGGCTCAGTGACACCACGCGAAGCTGACCGCCTCCTGGCTCCTGCGCGCACGGCTCCGCGGTGGGGACGGAGAGCGCCCTCCTCGGACGGTACGGTACTCAGAGGGCCGCGGCCGCTCTGCCCTGCCCCCGCCCTTGTGCCCCTGCTTACGGCGTTCTTCTAAAATACAATGAGTTTCTAGGGAAACTCTACCCAACTCCCCACAGCCTAGACGTGCAAGGACCAAGTCTGTCACCTCTTCAAGCCATTTCTGTGATGCCTCCTCCAGAATTGAGTGGTTACACGGAACCGGTTCCTAGTGAACATTTCCAATTCTGGTTTCAAGGAGGGTTTGGGAGCAAGCTTTCATGATTCTCATTTCAAACCAGAGTCCTGGCTGGTGGGTTACCTTGGATCAGCTCCCAGGATCCTGGTCCTAGACTTTTTACATGTCAGTCGCCCCCCCCCGCCCCCCAGTCCCCAGCTGAAGCTGGAGAGGGAGCAGAGCTGCATCTGGCCCAATGATCCCAGACCCTGTCTGGGGACAGCACACAGATGCCCAGGGTGCTCCGTGTGTGTTTAAAAACATGATCACACAAGGCTCCTAGCATCATTAGTCAACAGCAAACTGTGAAGACATCTCCTGTCACACCCACTGGGGAGACTGAGTAGAAGAGATGTGGCAACTCCATCTCACACCCCGCTAGTGGGAGTGTGAAGGTGCCAGCACTACAGAAAGCAATCTAGTGGGTCCTGACAGGTGGACAGAGTTACATGACCCAGCCACTGTGCTCCTGAATATATATCCAAGAAAAATGATGCAGAAATGCATACTGTAGTATTTTTTTAAATTTTATTTAAAGAATAAAAAAAGCAAAACAAAAAAGGGTAGAAATAATACAGAATTTCAAAAAACAGTAAAAAATCACTAGTTGATAAATTACATATTATCCTCTTAGAAATAGTTGCTCAAGTTACAAAATTAAAGCATACATTCATATAGTGAGACTGCAAACAGTTCTGCTCAATGATGCAACAAAAACTTAGTAATATGGTTATCAGTCCTACACTCTTAAACATACATGCAATTATATCCTTTAGAACCCTTTCTTTTCCTCTCTTTTTTACAATAGTAATTGCACATTTTGGGTTTCATTACTCCTAAAGTTCTTATTACTTTTTACAACAATGTGATATTTATAAATATGATTCTTATTTCACTTACGATAATCTCAACTTGCCTCCATTTACCTATGAAGGCCCCAAGATCATCCTTTTTTTTTTTTTCCATTTTTATCGGTACCAGGGATTGAACTCACGACTGCCTGCTTGCAAGGCAGGCGCTTATGCTGCTGAGCTAAATCCCCAGCCCCTAAGATCAGCCTTTTTATAGCTGAGTAATATTCCATTGTATAAAAATACCACATCTTTTTCATCTACTTTGCAGTTGATGGGCATTTTGGTTGTTTCCAAGATCTAGCCATTACAAATTGTGCTTCTATGAACATGGGTACACATATATCACTGTGACATGACCTTTTAGTTTTTCTGGGGAAATACCCAGGAGGGGAATAGCTGGGTTGAATGGAACTTCCAATCCTAGTCGTCTGAGAAATATCCATAGTGATTTCCATAGTGGCTACACCAGTCTGCACTCCCACCAACAGTGGAACAGTGTTCCTTTTTCCCCTGGAGCCTTTCCAACATTTGTTATCAGTTGGTTTCTTGATGGCAGCTATTCTTTCCAGAGTGAGATGAAATCTCAATGCTGTTTGAATTTGCATTTCTCGAATGACCAGTGATGGTAACATTTCTTCATGTATTTATTTGCCATTTGTATATCTTCATCTGAGAAATGTGTGTTCATCTCAGATGCCGATTTTTGGAGAGGGTCTTTGAATTTTGGGGTCTTGATGTTTTTCAATTTGTTAAATGTTCTGGATATAAGTCCTTTGTCTGAAGGGTTGCTGGGTGAAATTCTTTCCCATTGTGTGGGTTTTCTTTTCATTCTGTTGGTGATTTCTTTTGAAGTGCAAAAACTTTTCAATAATATGAGATCCCAGTTGTTGATTCTTTGAAGTGTTTCCTAGGTAGTTTGCATTTCGTTTGTGAATTCTCTGCCTACCCCTAGGTCTCTAAGACTTCTACCTACCTTGTCTTCCAGTAGATTTAGTGTTTCTACTTTAATATTTAGGTCTTTGATCCATTTAGACTTTAGTTTTGGGCATGGTGATAGGCATGGATCTGATTTTAGTCTTCAACATATAGATAGCTAATTTTTCCAACACCATTTATTAAAGAGGTTATCCTTCTTTCAGTGAACATATTTAGCCCCTTTGTCAAATATCAGGTGGCTGAATGTCTTTGTAGTTGTGTTTGCTTCTTCTAATCTGTTCCATTGATCCTCGGGTCCATTTCTTTGTCAGTACCATGCTGATTTTATCACTGTGGTTTTTGTTATAACTCGTGCCCCGGTATAAAATCCAAGGAAACAAGAGACCGAAAATTTAGGTAGCAAAGGCTTTATTTCCAGGCCTGGCGACCAGTCTCCGGGAGCCAATTTGGAGACTGTGTCCCAGAAACTGAAGGGAGGACTTTAAAAAGAGGCTGGAGGAAAAGGGTGGGGGGGAGAAACAAAGAAACCTGCAGAGCCATCAAACTTGTTGACCCACGTCTGGAAACTGTACTGCTGTCCACTTAGCTCTGACAATCTCGGGAGTTCCTGGTGTTTCTCAAATTATTCCCATCCTACAGACTGACATTATCTCGGAGTGGCACATCTGCAGCAATATTTGGAGAAGAAAGTGGACAGTTAATTATTCCAGGACAGCTCATTTTCGCTAGTGGGTGTGAAGGGGTCAAGAGTTACAAGAAGCTGAAACTTAAGTTTTACAAAGATCTGATATCTAACTCATTTGATGCATACAGAACAAAAGAAAAGCAACGATTAGGGTTTGGGCCATAGTATTTCCCGGTAATTTCTTTGAAGCTAAACAGTTCTTAAAATTGGGGCAGGCTCATTTTATGACAGATCATCACCGGGTCGGGAAGGGGTCACCAGAAACCCAAATTCTTTATGGCCTAGATAGATAGGTGAGAGGAGAGGGAGGCAATAAAGTGCCATACAGAACAGAGAACGGCGGTTATGTGTCAAGGTCAGGTAAAGGGTTAAACTCATATGCAAATCTCTCTGCACACAAGCAAGTTACTTCAAACAAGTGTAAATTAATGGGCCATTCTAGTTTTCTTTAGCTCTTTAGCGGAGAGTAGAGGCGCCTAACAGTAATTAACAACCCTTGTTAGCTTGTTTTAGCACAACTTCTGTAGTTTGTAGAGGGCAACAATGGTTAACATATCCATTAGGTGAGATTCTTGCAATTCTTTACAGAGGAGAGTATTGCTCAACATATCAATTAGGTCACTTAACATATCAGTTAGGGAAAAAGGATAAAAAAACCACATTTAGTAAGCCACGTTGCAGGTTTGCTATAATACACATATAACGAAGCTACTTTCTTAGAGTACAATAGTTTTGTAATACAGTTTCAAGTCAAGAATCGAGATGCCTCCTGCCTTGCCTTTGTTGCCCAGAATTGCCTTTGCTATTCTAGGTTTCTTCTGTTTCCAAATGAATTTAGGAGTGTTTTCTATATATCTGTGAGGTATGTTCATGGTATTTTGATTGGGATTGTATTAGATCTGTTATACAGACTTGTATAACAGTTTTGGGAGGATGGCCATTTTCACAATGTTGGTTCTTTTTTTGTTTGTTTGTTTGTTTGTTTGTTTTGTCTTTTTCCTTTTTATCGGTACCAGGGATCGAACTCACGACTGCCTGCTTGCAAGGCAGACACTTATGCCGCTGAGCTAAATCCCCAGCCCCCACAATGTTGGTTCTTCCTAGCCCCAAAAGCAAGGAATATCCTTTCATTTTCTAATATCCTCTTCAATTTCCTTTTTTAGCATAGCATAATTTTCAGCATATGGATCTTTTACATTCTTGGTTAAGTTGATTCTTAAGTATTTCATTTTTTTAATGCTATTGTGAAAAAGCAATATTTGCATAATTTCTCTCTGTGAGTTTTTGTGTACAGGAATGCCATTGATTTTTGAGTGTTGACTTTGTATCCAGTTACAAGGTTGAATTTGTTTATTACCTCTCATAGTCTTTTAATGCAGTTTTTTAGGGTTTTCTATAAAGAGTATCATGTCATCTGGAAATAGTGATAATTTTTCTTCCTTTCCTATCTTTATTCCTTTTATTTCTCTTTCTTGTCTGATTGCCCTGGCTAGTGTTTCTAGAACTATACTGAATAGGAGTAGTGATAGTAAATATCTTTGTTTTGTTCCTGATTTTAAAGTGAAAGCTTTCAGTTTTTGTCCATTTAGTATAATGTTGGCTGTTGGTTTGTCATAGATGGTCTTTATAAGATTGAAGTAGACACCGTGTATTCCAAGTTTCTAAAGGGTTTTTATCGTGAACATGGGTTGGACTTTATTGAAAGCTTTTTCTGCATCTATTGAGATGACCATGTGGTTTTTGTTTTGGCTGTTTTTGATGTAGTGTACCACATTTATTGATTTGTGTATGTTGAACTATCCCTGCATTCTTGGAATGAATCCCACTTGGTCATGATGTATAATCTTCTTGATGATTTGCTGCATTCTACTTAACAATATTTTATTGAGAATCTTTGCATCAATGTTCATTACTGAGACTGGCCTATAGTTCTCCTTTTTGGTTGGCTCTGTCTCTGGTTTTGGTATCAGAGTAATAAGTTGCCTCCAGGAATGATTTAGGGAGGATTCCTCCTTTTTCAATTTCATTGAAGAGTTTAGGGAATATTAGCATCAAATCTTCTCTAAATTTCTTGTAGAATTCAGCCATGAATCCATCAGGACCTGGGATTTTCTTTGTTGGTAAGTTTTTCATTACATTTTCAATTTAAATAGTTGATATTGGGTTATTCAAAATTGTTATGTCTTCTTGGTTGAGCTTTGGTAGTTCATATGTTTCTAGATATATGTCCATTTCCTCTGTGTTTTCCACTCTATGTGAGTAGAGATTTTTTTCTTTTTAGATTTTCAAAGTAGAGATTTTTCATGATCTTTTGAATTTTCAAGGGATTTGTAGTAATTTCCCTCTTTTTAGTCCTTATTGCATGATTTTGGGTTTTTTCTTTCTTCTTCTTGATAAAGTTAGCTAGAGATTTGTCAAATTTGTATATTCTCTCAAAAAACCAGCTTTTTGATTCATTAATTCTTTGTATTTTTTTATTTCAATTGCATTGATTTCTGCTCTAATCTTTACAATTTCCTCTCTTCTGTGAACTTTGGGTTTAACTTGCTCTTCTTTTTCTTGAAACTTAACATGAAGCATTAGGTTGTTTATTTGTGCTCATTCTGTTTTCTTGATATTACAATTATTGCTATATATTTCCCTCTTAAGACTGCTTTCATTGCACCCCACAGATTATAGTATGTTGTTTCCACATTTTCATTGAATTGTAGATATTGCTTTATTTCTTCTTTAATTTCATCTGTAGCCCACTGGTTGTTCAGAAGGTTGTTATTTAATTTCCATGTATTTACTGCAGATTTTGCAATTTCTTTTGCCATTAATTTCCAATTTCAGTGTGCTATGCTCAGGTATTATGCATGGGATAATTTCAGTACCTTTGCATTTATTTAAGAATGTTTTATGGGATAATATATGGTGCATTTTGGAGAATGTCCCATGTGCAGCTGAGAAGAATGTGTATTCTGATGTGGCTGGGTGGAACACTCTGTAAACATCTACTAAGTCCAATTGCTCACAGGTATGATTTAGTTCTATTATTTCTTTGCTGTCTTTTTGTCTAGTCGATCTATGTCTTTGTGACAATGGGGTGTTAAGGTCCCCTGTTATAATCATGTTCTTGTGTATTTGATTTATCATGTCCATTAGTATTTGTCTTATATGGTTGGGTGGTCCTATATTTGGTGCATATATATTCTTTTTTTTTTTTAATCTTCTTCTTTTTTATCGGTACTGGGGATTGAACTCATGACTGCCTGCTTGCAAGGCAGGTGCTTATGCTGCTGAGCTAAATCCCCAGCCCCTATATATTCATTTTTCAACCTACTTTTTATTCTTTTTTCTTTTTGGTCCTGGGGATCAAACTCATGAGCATATGCTTGCAAGACAGGCACTTATGCAGCTGAGCTAAATCCCCAGCCCTGGTGCATATATATCTATAACTGTTAGTAGTTCCTCTTAAATTTTTCCACCAATGAGTATGTAGTGACCTTCTTTATCTCTTTTAATCATTTTAGGTTTGAAGTTCACATTGTCTGCAAGTAGATTTTTTTCTGGGTTCCAGTTGCATGGAAAACTGTTCTCCATCCTTTGACTTTTAACCTATGCATACTCCAGTTTTATAGCATTCCTACTAATCCTAGTTAGAAGATGAAACAAGTCTAACATCCATCAATGGATAAATAAATAACAAACATGGTGTATCTGTGCCATGAGTATCACTCAGTTCTAAGAATGGACTCCGAATACATGCTACAACATGGATAGATGTAGGGAGTGGCTTTGAATAGCTGCTGCTGCCCTGCCCCTCCTGCCTGAGGGCATTTTGTGTGTCAGCCTACATTTCCCATGATCCTCATGTCCACCTACATTACCCATAATCCCCTCCTACTTACGTCATATATCCGGATGTGATGGTGGCCTATCAGATAACACTCTGTGCCCTCTTCCTGCCTTTGGCCCGCCCCCCACCCTATATAAGTTGTAGCCATTTTGAAAATAAACGAGACTCGATTGGAATCGCATCCTGTCTCCATCTCTCTTTTCCCTTGCCCTGCCCCCATCCCCGATTCCCTCTCCAGGTGAGGCCCATAGATTGGTCCGCAGGCCGGATCAAGTGGCGCCCAACGTGGGGCACGAACCCACGACCCTGAGATTAAGAGTCTCATGCTCTACCAACTGAGGATGAACCTGGGGACTGCGAGTTTATGAGTCAGGTAAAGACAGGGGAAGTCTTATTCTCATAAAAAAGGTTCCCCTACAGACTTCATTTGTGCCCATAGGCCCAAACTTTGCTCTAAAGCCAAAATATTATCCAAATCCAAAATACAATCAGCCCATTACAGATCCTGTTACTACTGTTCAAATAACCACAGTAAGTCCCTCAGCCATAACGGTTTCTCAAGCCCCCCACCCTATATAAGTTGTAGCCATTTTGAAAATAAACGAGACTCGATTGGAATCGCATCCTGTCTCCATCTCTCTTTTCCCTTGCCCTGCCCCCATCCCCGATTCCCTCTCCAGGTGAGGCCCATAGATTGGTCCGCAGGCCGGATCAGATAGACATTCACAACATTCTGCCAGTGAAACATCAAGTGAAAGAACCAGTCACAAAAGGCCACCTATCAAATGATGTCATTTATATGAAATATCCAGAAAGTGGGTTGGTGGTAACTGGAGTGTATGATGGAAGAATGGGGAGATGGTATAATAGTAAGCAGTTACTTCTGGGAGAACAAAAATATTCTAACATTAGGTTGTGGAGATGGCTGACTGCACAACTCTGAATATCCTGAAAACTATTGAATTGTGCTATTTGTTTGTTTATTTTGTTTTTTTGAGACAGGTTCTTACTATATAGCCCAGACTATATTGAATTAGTGACAATCCTCCTGCCTTAATCTCTTGAGTGTTGGAAATACAAGTGTGGGCTGCCACACCTAGCTATGAATTATGTACTTTAAATGAGTGAATTGTATGTCAGTGAGACCATTAAAATTATGATTTTTTAAGATGAGGCTATTTTATCATTTTCTTTGTCTTTTTTGTCCTTTCCTTTCTTTTTTTTCTCCAAGAGGATCTGCAATGGAAACACAGAGTTCTGGAGGCTAGATAGGAATTATGGAAGCTGGCCAAGAGGCATGATGGATAGGCCTCTGGCCCCAGTCCCTCCTAACAGTGGACCAAGGTGAAAGATCCTATTAGTGTCTGTTTTTCTTTCTTTTTTTTGTCTTTTTGAGACAGTGCCACACTGTACAGTTCAGGCTCACTTTGTAGCCCAGGCTAGTCTCAAACTCTCTATGATCCTCCTGCCTCAGCCTCCCAAGTGCTAGGATTATAGAGATGCACCACTATTGTAGGAGACAATTACAGTGTCTCCCTTTGTTTTGTTTTGTTTTTGTTTTTTGGTCTTTTTCCTTTTTATCGGTACCGGGGATCGATCTCACGACTGCCTGCTTGCAAGGCAGGCGCTTATGCCGCTGAGCTAAATCCCCAGCCCCTCAGTGTCTCCCTTTGAGTCCAAAACAATTACTGTGACTTTGAATATTTGGAGACTCATTTCCTTATACTGAAATGTAAAAAGATGACTGGGGTATTTCCTTCTCTTCAGTTAACTCTGAGCATGGCAAACAGGGCTGGCCCAGGTCCTAACATTGCAGCCATCACAGATGTGAGAGACAACTCTGGTGACTCCCTTTGGATCCAAAACAATTGCTGTGACTTTGATTACTTGGGGACTCATTTCCTTATACTGATATGTGAAAGGCTGGCTAGGGTATTTCCTTCTCTCTTCAATTGGCTCTGAGCATTGCAAATAAGGCTAGCTGAGGTGTTAATATGCAAAGTCTGGCCATCAGACAGCCCCATTTCCTCGCATGATACTCTCCACATTACAGGATTGAGGTGGCAAGATGCAGAGCAAATAGCTCAAGGAATGTCAGTGCATGGTCCTCTCCACATTAAAGGATTGAGCTAGCCAGATGCAGAGCAGACTCCGGGAATGTCAACTGGGAAGGACCCTCAAGATAAGAGGCTATGACTCCCCAGGGCACAAGAGTTTGCATATCACAAACCAAAGCAACAGCCCCCCAAAACAATTCCCCTGCTACCTTAATCAGGTTGTATAAATTGATCCTTCTGCATGTTTTTATCTCTGCAAATTACAGAGGTGCCTTCCTTGCACCTGGCCAGCCAGCTCAAGTTACTCAGCAATCCCTGACATCCTATCACTTATCCGAGCGAGTGACCCCTCCCTTTTCTTCACAAGATAATAAATGCTGGGAGAGGCCTAGGATCGTGGCCTTTGTCCACATGTCCTCACCGGAAATGGACTTGGATCCCCTTGGCTGCCCTTAACTTGAAATATGTCTTGGTGTTTTTACTCTCGCCTTGGGTTGCGTTGGTGGTGGTAGAGGGGAATTGACCCGCTGGAATTCCAGTATCATCTCAATGGGATTAAGTGTTATAGCCTTTCTCTAGCATGCTTGAGCCCTGGCTTCAATCTTCAGAACCAGAAAAGGGGTGGGCAGCAGTACCTTGTAGTCTGGAGCTGGGGATATGCTTCAAGAAGTTGAAATCTGTGGAATTTGTGAATTTATAGAGTTTGGGCTTGGTTTACAGATTAGCACAGCTCACTCACAGGTACCATGAAAATAGTTCATTTTATAGGAGAAAGACATGGCCCCAGTTGTTTTGTTTTGCTGTTTTAAGATGGGTGATATAAGATGTGTTGCCAGAAGTATTCTTTGAAACTTTTGAATCTGTTCTTCTATATTGTCAGGTTTTTGCTTATTTATGTTATCAATTTAATGTATGGATTTAAAGTATCTTTAAGGGATTTATGATGTAATGGACCTGGAAGAAAAGCAGCATAAAGAACCCTAAGAAATACAGATAGGAAGAACCATGGGCAAGTTTAGTTGTGTCCTGAAGTTGTAGTTTTCTTAAAAGCACAACTTTTAAACTATGATTTTCATGTCTTCTTTCTACTTGTCTTTATTTCTTCTATCTCACCTCTGTCAACAGGGTTTACTAGAAAAACATATAACCTACGGTATATAAAAGCATAAGAAAGTATAATATTAGTTTACAAGGGTCAGTCATACAGTCAGATGAGGAAGTGTGCAGAGGGTGTCTGCACACTGGAAGATAAAGGATCCATCCAAGGGATGGAGCTTAGTGCAGTGTCCCATGGTAATCGATATTAGGAGGCCGAGGGGTCTGTCGTGGAACTCAAAGAGTCCGCAGTGGAAGGCTGAAGAGACCCAGGTGAAAGCTGAACAGTCTGTGCCAGAAGCTAGGAGAGGACATCCAAGCTGGAGGTGAAGACTGGAGCTCCAGGCTCCTCCGAAGAACCAGCAGTCTGCCCCTCCTCATTTGCCTTCTATTGTATGCAGACTGCTCCCATGGGGTGGGTGTAGCTCTCACACCATCTGCTGCCCTGCTCTTCCACGGGCCAGGGATGTTACAAATTAATCATTCTGGCCTCCTCCTGAATCACTTAGTTAAACTTCTGATCTTTTCAAATTGACACAGCAAGGAATGACATTCTAGGATGGTAACTGGCTTGCCCTCTGCACTCCAAAATGCAGAACTGCTAAGTCACTTAGTTAAGCTTCTAGATTTATCAAGTTAACACAATATATAAACCATAATAATCCACCCCTTGTCAACTTGACAACCAGATACATTTCTTTTAAATCAGTCTCCAGATACAAAGACCTGCTTATAATTACGCCTAACATGTTATAACTACCTTGTGTACAAACAGGAACGTACTGATTCCCTCACCAGACTAAGTGAGTTTCCCTTGGGTGATGCTTATTCTTATCATTTCACAACTTGAACATTATGACACAGCTTAACAATCCAGAAGAACCAGTGTTAAGTCCATCAACACTGTATTACATTAGAACCATATGGGGGGGATAGAGTACAATTACAGCCCTTTTTCCTGTAGCTGATCACCAGGTCACAGCTACATTTAGAACTCCCTTCTTCACTACCCATTCTCTATTTCCTTGACCTCCAGTGAGCACCTCAGCAGGTCTGGGTTCTTTCCTGGGTGGAATGACCCACACCTTCATCCCTGAAGGCTCTGGGCCATTTGTCACTCTGCCTATGTTTCTGCCTATTGTTTCCCATTGACTTTAATAACAGGGCACGGTAGTCCTCTTCCTTTCCTCTATTGTGGAGTAGGAGCCCGATTTCCCCTTGACAGTCTGGGCCAATCACCCCTGACAACACTGTGACGCTGTTTAGCTTTTTCCTCAGAGGCACAAGGAGACCAGATACCAGGGGGAAGCATTAGCGTACAGCTCAGTGGTACTGTTGTTGTGCTTCCTGGTATAAGCCTTCCCTCTCTGGAACCAAAACTATTAAGCCAACAGAACATAAGGTCGTGGGGACAGGGAGCTACATTTTGCTAGTGGATCACTAGGGGTGATGGTGAGTGGCACCATTCCTACTTCCACCCCTTGATTCCTGGACCCATGAATCCTGGCTATGGGAGACACAGTACCACATAGTGGATGCTGATTCAAAGGATATACGGCTTTTTGAAGCACCCTACCTCATCCCTGCAAGCTATTGCCACCTACATGGCACCTGAATTCTGTCTTCCAAAGACCATTTCACCTTTCTATCCAGCTGCTTCTGGATGGTGAGGAACACGGTAAGACGAGTGAATTCCATGAGCATGAGACCATGGCCTCACTTCTTTGGCTGCAAAATGTGTTCCTTGGTCAGAGCAACCTCTGTGGAATTCCACAGTGGATAAGGCATTCTGTGACTCCATGGATGGTAATTTCGGCAGAAGCCTTATATGCAGTGAAGGCAAATCCACATCCAAAATATGTGTTTATGCCAGTGAAGACAAAGCACTCTCCCTTCCACGATGGAAGTGGCCCAACATAACCTGCCACCGGGTCACAGGCTGATCACCCCAGGGAACTGTGCCATATAGGGGACTCAAAGTTGGCCTCTGATGCTGCCATGTCGGGCA